CAAACCATTTCGATTCCAAACCATTCCAACTTTTGAATCTCAACTTAATATAACATATTTGACATAAAAAACCAAAATTCAACCTTTATTTTATTATTTATATTATCTCCCAAATCATTGACTTAATTAAGTCAAAGTTCATATGATGAACTTGCATAAATCTTGATAATCTCTTGAATCTAATGACCATTTCATGCCATAAACACTAAAATGCACTCATTTTATACACTTAAGATCAAACCCATATGAAACCCTAACTCTAACTCAACATGCAATCCATATAACAAGAATGTCAACCAAGAACAAGTACAAAGAATGGATTATACCTTACTTGATGATCAAATCCTTCAAAAATTTTGTAGTTCTTCTTTGATTTAAGTTGAATCGAGCCTATGTGTGTGAAAATCGCACCTCTAGTGTGTGTGTGAGTTCTGGACTTAGATGACATGAAAAATGGGCCAAAAATCCAATTTATAATGCTAAAACTCGAGTTGGGCCGGGTTGGCCCGGTTAGGTACCCATTTTGACTATCAACACTTAAAATATTCATAACTTTTCGCTCGGACCTCCGTTTTCTATGAGATTTTCGCCTACACGTTCATAAAAAGATACTCTATAACATCCAACAAAAATATTCCAGAAAAGATCTCCCAAAAAATCCGTTTTACGTATCTATTTGACGTGATATTTTCCAAATCCTCTAATATATTCTTAAGAAATATAATTCTAAAACTTCAGACCCAAACTCCCACTAAATCATAAGTTCTCTTTAACCCAATAATTAAATATACTAAACAAATAATTGGGCATATTAGAAATTGGATGTTACACTCAACAACTTCAACAACAAGCCTCAGCCAACCATGCCTTTGAGCCGTACGTGGTATGACTGCCATCTGTGTATAACAACATCAGAAAAAACTATCAAATAGTTGAATACAAGAATCACTACAAGATTCAAATGGCACTATTTGCTTGTCTATGATGAAATCTACTATAACACATTCTAAAGAGTCTTCTGTTTTTGTAACTAGTTGCATGAATGGCCTACTGAAGCATCATTTTCTTATGACGCCATACAAGTTAACAAGAAAAGATGCACTATAGCAAATGCTTTTGAGAGTAAGATTGCGTCGTCACAAGAAACTAGATCTTGTAATGGGCCATAACGGATTAAACAAGTAGCACTACTACAAGGATTTTGGGGGGGGGGGGGTATATATCAAGATATACAGGAAATGATGTGTTGCATTAACTATAAATAAATAAACGAGGAACCAACGGTTGTAAATAAAGCATCAACAAAATGTGACTTGTAAGAAGAGATAGATACATTGATCAGAAGTGGTTTATGTTTTCATCAGATTCTTCTATTATGCCAACATAAAACATTAAGGGATACAACAAACCTAAGTTCTTTTTGTGTTGCATTGTTGTTCTTTGTTTGCACATGAATACAACAAAACAAAATGTATGATGGTGGTTCTACATGCACCATATCTTTTATACACATACAACCACGATATTTTTAACACATACACACACACATCTACAAAGATGGAGATATCCGATGAGTGTGTGTGGGAAAGAGAATGTGTTATAGGTGTTCACACACACATACACATACATAAAGGCAGAAGATGATGGTTTCACCACTACGTGTCATCGAAGGGGTAGGAGAGGGAGTTCTCTGAGAGCTAGGCTAATGAAGGTCATAGTAGTTATGATGTGTAAAAAGGAGAAGGGGAGGGAGTTCTCTCAAAGCTAGGCCGATGAGGGTCATAGTAGTTATGGTGTGTGAAAGGGGAAAAGAAACAAAAAATGGTGTTCGTGCAACAGTAAAGGAGATCATAAATAGTATTGGTGCAAGGAGAAAGGGACGTAAAACGTTCTTAAGTTAACAGACCTTGTTAACACAGTTACCCATTGGAACTAAAAGCTAAACAGAGTAACAACTAAAATAATGAAAAGTATAATTAATTTTAAGTAAGAAGTAGACTTGATAGCGAACGACAAGCACATAGACCAAAAGTGTAATTTACTTTTAGAATACTTGGGTTAATTACTTAATTTAGCAAAATTAGACTTAAGAGCCATTTACCAAACGCTTACTCTGGTAAGTGAACACCAAGTCTCATTACCTTACCGGATGAATATGATAAGGACCAAGAATCTTAACCAGTAAGAGCGAGACAAAGACCAAGAGTCTTACCCGGTAAGTGAGGGGGACGACTCTTACCACAGTAAGCGCTTACCAGGTGAATTGTTGCATACGTTACCGTTTTGGTGAACTAAAATTTTACTCGGTAAGTAACTGATAGTATTAAATTTTATCGATTTACGCTTACCGAGTAAGTGTTTGGTAAACAACACGGTAGTTTTTGGGCCACTATAACCAATTATTACAAAGCCCAGTAAAGCGACATCTCTTGTCGGAAAATGGAAATAAAAACGTAATCTCAAATCAATGCCCCTTACTCCAACACCGGCGATAACGAAAAAATCCGATGGGCTCTGCAACTGAACACCGTCGTCTTCCCCGCCATAACCACTGCGTAAACAACATCTCTCATTTTATCCAGTCTACCGCATCAAATATCTCATCTATTTTCATCCCTAAATCTCCGAATTCATCAAATTCTGCTTCCTCACCGCCCAAAATATTTCTCCCACTTCCGGCCTCTCTACCAGCTGTCTCGTTATATGATTCTTCTCTAAGTGGTATGGAGTCGTCTTCTTCTTCTACGAGTCCGTCAGCCTCATCATCATTGGTCAGGAGTATGGCGTCGGAGTCAACCAGCTCAGGGTTTCCGTCCAGCGTGAGGATTTCCAATCTGAGTTCGAGTGCGAATGGCGGTGGACCGGCTTTTGTAGGTCAGGTTTTTAGCATGTGTGACCTTTCTGGGACTGGTCTCATGGCTGTTTCCACCCAGTTTGATATCCCCTTTATCTCCAATAGGTATTAACTTTCCTCCACTCTATTTTGCGTCAACTATTTAAACTGAGCTGGTTCATCGGAATTTATTCATATTCTAGAACTCATCATCTAACATTTGCACTCAAATATTTTCTGTTCTGTTCTATTGGGTAGGGTTTGAATTTGATGCCATAGACCCTTGTTTAGTTGTTTACCTGGCTTTTTAAGATGATATTAGACTCTCTGCCAGCTGATGCATCTAGCTAATGTAAATCTGTTGGAATTATCAACAGAAGTGTTGGTAGAAACAGTGTATGCTTGCTTAATCCCGTGCATTGCTTGGCAATAGCAAAACCCTTATTACTGTTGGGGTGGATATGCCAAATACAACACCAAACAAAATTTCTAAGTTTCCAAATGCAAGTAGAAATCCAAATGCAAAATCAACCGGAACAACAAATGTGGATAACGAGATGTAGATGTTGCAATTGTGATGCTAATCGGTAAATACTAACTCACAAAGTTGGTGACAACGAGGTATGCAAATATCAAAGCATACACAACAAGTCAGAATAAATCGACACCAAGATTTAACTTGGTTCCACTAATCAGTATGCTAGTGTACATCCACAGGGAGAGATAGATCATATATATTATCAACAGAAGGAAATTTCATTTGTGTTACAAAGATCCTTGGATCCAGAATCAGCAATCTTCAAGAACACACCAAGAAGACCTAGCAAAAACCTACTATATTTTGTAACTACAAAATATAAACGAGAGGTCGGAGAATAGGTGGTGTTTTGGGAGTGTTTGGAGGACGAGGAGAAGTGTTTTGGCCATTAAAAACTTTGTTGGTGGAAATGGCTTCCTCAAGGAGGGTTGGGTTTTTTATAACCCAAAAACAACTCAAAATATCTAGATATTTTTCTATATTAAAAAAACAAGCTACAACATGGAGGAACACAATTTGAAATCAAAAGTTAGTATGGAGAGGTCGGAGCTGCAATCAAGTGGCAACAACAACAACAACATGTAGAGGTAGCCAAATGTGTAGGGGTTTTTCTAATACTCGCGTATCTCATGGTGCTCCGATTCTTTGTGCAACATAAACAATGTAATACAAATATTACAACAATTACCACATAGTGTTTAGGATACATTGAAAATCAACTAGGCTTCGGAGATAAGTAGAACTTTGGATGTTGGTATTTTCTAGTCATTTTTGAACAACCGGATATGGCTTTGTATTGGTCTATGAAGCTATACCACATGGAATGAATAAGACAATAGCAATGAGTTTGCTTAATACAAACATATTGCTTGCTATAACATCCTAGTTTCATATTTGTTAAATTACAATGTTTTAAACCTTAAATACAGATACTATGAGTAATTTAAGTACTTTAAAAAGGTCCCAGCAGTTGTAGCATCTATTATTAAATATTTTCAAGACAAGTAGTCTACAAGTAGCTTACAAGGCAAAACATGAGAAATCAAACCTGAAGTGATAAGTTGTAAGGGCTAGAAGCATGTGTTGGCAAGCTATTTGATGACTAACCAAGTCTACTAAGCATGACAAAACAAGCTAGTTATGAGTTGTCAAGGCTAAAAGCATGTGTCGGCAAAATTCATGATGACAAGCAAGAGCTAGAAGCATGACAAATAAAAGTAGAAGTATGATGTGTCAAGATTCCTTTATATTGAGCACGAGGTATCAAGATTCTCTTATCCTTAAAAAATGAGGTGTTAAACTCTCATAAGAGTACAATTTTGGGAGCAAGAAGAACAAGTAGCTAATGCAATGAATTTACCCATAAATAGGGGTTGAAGTGTTACTATTAGCTCCATACCAGAAATAAGAAATCTCTTTCTTTATACATACTCAAGCTTGAAGAAAGGAATTAAGGGAAAAACTAGGCATAATCAAGGTGAGTACTTATGAGATTTATGAGATACATACATGCTATATAGAAGTATTTTATGCATTACAAGATATTTTGTCATGTTTGCTTTACATGAAAATGTTATACATTTACATATATTCAAGATATGCATGATGACATGTTTTTGATACAAGTATGTGTTTTACACGCAAGGCATGAAAGTGTTTACATGTTATGATACAAGTATGTGTTACACAAGGCATGAAAGTTTTTACATATTATGTATGACCATAAATATCCAATGTACGGGATATTACAAGAAGGGACGTCTTGCAAACGAACCTTATGAGGCAACCTTCATGGACCCGGGGGTTAGCAAACCTCAAGACAAGTATGACATTATTACATGTTTCAAGTGAGATCTCAAATGAATATACATGAAAAAAGAAAAAGATTATTTTAGCATGATCAAGAGTTTTAGTGAATTACTGCTCACAAAATGATAAGCATCATGAAAATTGTTTATTCATGAAACCGTAATTACTCACTAAGCTTTTAGCTTATGTATCTCATGTATGTATCTCAGGGAAGGAATAAACAAGATTTGCATGAGTAATATGGTTCTAACCGATAGCAAATTTTGTTGTATTATGAGTGATAAACTAAACAATGGTATATTGCTCACACAAATTTTTGATACTTTATTCAAGAGGCCAAAGTGGCTTTAAATACACTGGGAAAAATAACAAATTGACAGRGAAAATAGGAACGAAAAAGCAAAACGAAAAATTGCTAAAGACTAGGTAAATAGCTAAAGACTAGGTAAACACACGTGTCAAACGCGTTTACATAGTCAGCCTTATTTTCAAAATTCAAAAACTCCAACAAACCTTCCCCCAAACTAGACGTTACAGTCTTGTTTGTCTTCCAACGAACATACTCCAAGCTTTTCCCTTAATTTCACAAACACATCTCGATGCAGTGGTTTAGTGAATACGTCTGCTATTTGCTTATTAGTACCAACATGCTTCAATTTAACTGTTCCTTTTCCAACCAAATCACGAAGAAAATGTAACTTTACCCCAATGTGCTTGCATCTACCATGGAAGACTGGGTTCTTCGAGAGCTTAATTGTTGAGGTGTTATCACATTTGATCTCTGTGCCATCTCCTTGTTTCATTCCAAGTTCTTCAAGAATGCTTCGAACCCATAAAACTTGACAGGCACAAGCTGCTGCTGCCACATATTCGGCTTCTGTGGAAGATAGAGCAACTATCTGTTTCTTTGATGACCATGTGATTGCAGCTCCATCCCACAACACCAAGTACCCGGATGTACTTTTCCGGTCATTCCAGTCTCCTGCGAAATCACTGTCAGTAAACACCTCTATTATGCCACTTCCTTCTCTTTTGTACCAGATGCCATAGTCTAAAGTTCCTTGAAGGTATCTCAACACCCTTTTTGCAGCAGCAAAATGACTCTCTGTTGGCTTAGACATGAAACGGCTGATGTAACTTACCACAAACTGGATATCCGGTCGTGTGGTAGTGATATACATCAGACTTCCCACCAAGCTTTTGAACAAAGTTTCATCTACCGGTTCACCTTCTTCAAAATTTAGTTTACAACCAAGAACAATTGGATTTACTACTGCATTGCAATCCAACATGTTGAAGCGAGTAAGAATTTCAACTGCATACTTCTGCTGTAACACATGAATTCCAGCTGGAGTTTGAAACACCTCTATTCCCAAGAAATATCTCATTTTTCCCAGATCTGTCATCTCAAATTCACCCTTCATGGAGCACTTGAATTCTTCCAACATTTTTTCATCGTTGCCTGTATAGGAAAGGTCATCGACATATATGCTTACAAACAAAAACTTCCCATCTGATGTTTTTTTGATAAACAAGGTGTGTTCTGATCTGCTTCTTGTAAAACCTTCCTTGACAAAGTATGCCTCAATTCGGCTAAACCAATCCCTGGGAGCTTGTTTAAACCCGTATAAGGCCTTTTGGAGTTTGTACACCTTGTGCTCGTTGCCTTTAATTATGTATCCCTGTGGCTGCTGCACGTAAACATCCTCTTCCAAGGTTCCATAAAGAAAGGCGGATTTAACATCCATTTGATAGATGTTCCAACCCCTTTGTTCAGCTAGAGCTATCATCAATCGAATTGTGTCCATTCGGGCAACTGGAGCATATATCTCGACATAATCAACTCCGAATTCTTGACCGTACCCCCTTGCAACCAGCCTCGCCTTGTGTTTCTCGACCTCTCCTTTTTCATTGAGTTTTGTTTTAAAAACCCATTTAACACCGATACATTTGGTACCCTATGGCAGGTCTACCAATCGCCAGGTCTGATTTTTTTTGATTGCTTGAATTTCGAGATCCATAGCCTTCTTCCACTTCTCATCCTTGACTGCATCTTCATAGTACACGGGATCTTGATGGATCAAATCAGTGATGTTCATCTCGTCGTCGTCTGAATCTAACTCGTGATCATCACCTGCAAAATAGTCACTTAGATAAGTAGGTCGTCTTCTTATCCTTTGTTGTTTTCCTTCCCTGATTACTGGACTGCTAGGACCGGAATCGGCAATGACAGGGCTGTCAATGTGTTCATCTTGCTCGGCTTCGTCATCTTGATCAAAGTGATGCTCATTCACAAACTCATAATCATCAATAAAATCATAATCGCCCCATATGATTTCTTTTTCATCATCAGCTTCTTTTGTCTGACTCCAGATCCAAGACTTATGCTCTTTAAAAACAACATCTTTGCTTACAATAACTTTTGGTGTTTGTGGATCAATCAATCGATATGCCTTCGATTCTTCACACATTCCTGTCAAAATGCAAATAAAACTTTTATCATCAAGTTTAGTTCTTTTCTGTTTGGGTATGTGGACATGAGCGAGGCACCCCCAAACACGAAAGTGATGAACTGTTGGTTTTATCCCACTCCAAGCTTCTTGAGGAGTCATGTTCGTAAGGGCTTTGGTCGGACATTTTTCCAAAACATAAAAACTCCACATCGTTGCCTCTAACCAAAACTTTTTTGGCATGTTTTTGGCTGTTATCATCGACACAACCATGTTGATGACTGTCCGATTCTTTCGCTCAGCAACCCCGTTCTGCTGAGGTGAGAAAA